CCTCGGCAAAGCACGGAAAGGAAACGGGAGTCTGTGTTCAATAGAAGGTCCGAACAACTTTCTTCACAGCACGGAAAATGTTGCAAGATTTTGGCGAACATCAGGACGAATGTAACAAGTCGTCACGAGTATCAATGCCCCCGGGGGTTTATTTATCTCTGTCTCTCCCTCTTTTTCAAATCACATTCTGTCTGATGGTCCAGATTTAGATCTGCGCACCTCCCTTCCCCCTCACCTTTTCAAACACAAACTCTTCATTTCAGTTTAGATTGAATTCCTTTGCACTGACCTGGAAGAACCCAGCCGATTATATCGGGCCCTGTCAACTTTCTGTTCACAGAATTATCCCCTGATCCCTTTTGGGGGAGTTGGGGGGGCAGGGTGTTGGTATCTGCTATTTGTCCAGGCCCGTCTCCTCACCAATAAGTCATGCTTATCAATTGCAAACTTCTAGTAACTTTATTGACCGGTTTAAAACGTCGTATTGCTAATTGATTCCTTCATGGCGATACAATCGCTTTTGGGAATGCCAATCCCATTGTCTTTACAAAGGCCTTTCTAACTCTGCTTTCATCTACCAACTCAGAGATTCACCGGGCACGTCAAGTGAAATTATGTTTTTACTTTGAGTATTCGGGATAATTCGTCTTGAAGATTCTTCATTTAGAAATCGGGCAATTTAACGAAAGTGGGTTAAATGAAGAGGGAGACTGTGATTAAATGCTAAATTAGAATATGGACTCCAAAATAGTGGGCTTGATTAATTAAAATCAAAACACCGCCTTTGCACACCTTCAACAGCAAGCTGTTCCTAATAAATCACACTGTGTGTACTATTTTTCTCTAACACGTTACACAACAAACAATCTACTAATACGATCTGAGTTCTAAGGGCAGGCCCTAATGTGTTCCTATCAGAAATCAGGACTGAAGGTAAACCCTTTCTTCCTCAGTGTACACAGCACTGAGCTGGGGACGAGCCCTGTTTTAGTTTAGCTCTCTAGGCGAAGTCAGAGAAATCCCTCGTTGCCCTGTGACTTAATGAGGTGTGTTTGTGTGACTATCAGAGAGTTTAGTTCTAAGCAGTGAAGCGAAAAAACAGTTTCTCCTCCTTTAAAAGGAATTGGTTCAGCCTATTCCTAGAGGAGGATTCTCTCCAACCCACATCCCAGTACCTTAATCCGAACGCCTGCAGCTAACAGCATCTCACCCGCTATATTCCTGTGTCTCAGCACCAATGCTCATTGCCTTAAACCTACACAAGGCTAAGGTCCTCATCCTCTGCAACTTGTGGTAATTATCAGTGTATCAAACTTCTCATAAAACACCGTCTGAACGTCAACCCCCACCTCCGCCACTCTCAATAAAAAAAATCTTGACAATTTAGGTCAGGCATGATTTTACAGATTGCACATGGCAACCCCGCGGTGGGGGTGGGGTTGGGTGGTTAGTGTGCTGTGGGTGGAAGAGACTAAGTGGGTGGGAAGCTTGGTGCAACTAAGGTGTCATTTTATTCGTAGGCCTGAAACAAATGTGATCCAAAGTTATCTAACGTTACACAGCCCGTGACCAAATTAGGTGTAACACACTGAATATATCTCCCAAATTACCAGGATGGTGGTATGAAGTGTTTTCTCGTTTTCTGATGTGTGCGCGTTTGTTACTTTCACTCGCGTTTTGAAGTGGTGGCCCAGAAACCCACTTGTGTCAGCTTCCTATCGCTAGTCTCAGCGGTCTAGTCACTAACCAGAAACCACACTCTGTTCTGCCTTAGTTTGCTGTCTGTAGTACACCAGGTCGGCTTGTTTAATGCAATCTCTAACGTTAGCGGCGTCATTACACGGGCTAGGCAAATTGCTTCGCAGTTTAATCCCCATAATTTTGACAAATCACCCATCATCACCGATTCCTCTAACCGTACGTTTGCACCAACTAAATCGGGAAATGACACCGAGCTGTACTCCCCAGTTACAAGATTAAATGCTTTCAGTTTCTGTAAAAGAAGAGAACCCAGACGGAGAATAGATTGCAAGGCGCGCTCTCCAGAGTGTTTTAAACTTCAGTCAACTCTTTTTTTTTCGCCCTCTCTTCTGTGGGAAATATTGTAATGTAATGCAATCCTGAAACCAGCTGTAAAACAGCGAGGCAGATGCATTGAAGAGTTACAGGAAAGTCCCGGCAGCTTCTCTCCACTTTTCGGAGTTTAGTCTGGCATTTGTGGGTCCGCTTTGATACCCGAGAGAATTCCCAAAATGCGATATATGGCTACTCCCTGCTCGTCCTACAGTGAATAACACGGATATGCCAAGCTAATCCTTAAAGACACTCGATCAAATCTATTAATTTTATTTTTAAATCTGTAAAATCAGTTCGAATCTTAAACCTAACTAGGCGCGACTTAAGTTCAATTTACTCTGTCAGTAGCCATCCAGGTAATACACACTCATATAAACCAGGTGCCTCTTTTAATGTACAAAGTCACTTTGTATCTATATTTACGAGGGAACCGAGAGTTCAATGGCACAGTGGACCAGAAGGACAGATTTTTTAAAAGAACAATAATGTTTTAAGAATTTGAAGAGTACTTCCTCCAGTCATTTTAGCAAAACGACGGTCGTGATCAGTTAATTATCTTAAAACAAGCTACAGTTAATGTCACAATATTAGAACTACGAGCTTAAAGAAGTTAACGTGCGCGCACGTCTCCTTCCACAATCCAAAATGCAATGGTCTCCATATTGAGGAGCATTCTCTGGGATATGAGGGAATTATTAAATAAATTATAGAGGATGCAACATATTTACGGACTGGAATGGCTCGGATCGGTTCGAAAATCGCTCTGGCGGACGGGGAGCTCTTTTTTAAACAGCGGCTCTTCTCAACTTGTCATTATCTATTGGAAAATGAGCACAAACTGGTCACTTCATTATTCTTCTACTTGTCCTACTCTTGTCAGGTTGCCTGAGTGAATGAAGCTGAGAAGGAGGGGGGAGGGTATAACAGCAAGGGAAGGAGAGGGAATAAGGCTGACGGCCGATGGAGCGAGGAAATGGTGATTTGCCCAGTTCCTGGCCTTTCCCAGTGTCAACGTGTGAGGTCACAACTGTGTAACTTCACCAAAGAGCCCTCCCTATCTCTGTAATCCCAGCACCTGAAGGTAGAGACTCAGCAGCCCCCCCGGGCAATGTCGCTGTGCAATTTAACTCCATCCTATTGACAGGGGACAGGGGCTGTGGGGTACGGAAAGTAGGAGTGGGTGGAAGAGTTAATCGTGTACGATTAAAAAATATACTGGAACTAGAGAGTGAAAGCAAACAAGTACGACGAGGCTTTTTTTCGCTAGTTCCAGTATTCTAATTATGGTTCTCTGAACTGGTACCGTTCACATGGAGTGAAGGGCAACCAATACCCAGCACTGAGCACTTTCACCTCCTGGTTGGTGGTGATTTCTGAGAGTCCAGCTGTTGCTAAGTTGCCAACCGAAGCTCAAACACGAGCATTGCTTTGACAATATTTCAGAAACGTAAAAGGTAGAAAATCTCTCTAAATTTAAGGGGAGGGGGTGTGCAATTCATAATAATCGTGGGCCAGATTGGACAGCAGAGATCACGCAAAAGCTGTCTGCCCCACTCTGAGGTGCATTTGAGATTAGGTTCGTTCTCATGCTCCTACACACATCTGTAAAGATCCCATTAACTTCTCCACTGTCACTGAAATACATTACTATGCAACAAAAGGTGTTTTCGCGCTTCCTGTTGCTCGTAGCGAATAATTTTGCTCCCCTTGAGCCACCGACTGTCTCTCTCTCTCTCTCTCTCTCACACACACACACACACACATACACAGACATAGAGGCACAAGTCCGCTATCCACAGTTTGAACTGCTCTGGGTCGATGTCGGCTTTAACTTTGTTTGGGTTCCGGCCCTTCAATGAAGAGAGGTAAGGGCCGAACACGTCGAAACCAATCTCAGATTTCAATATGTACAGCGCTTACACAGCCACACACTCTCTCTCACACACACAGTCACTCACACACACACACGCACACAGACACACACACACAGACACAAACACAGACACTCTCTCTCACACACACACACACTCACACACACACAAACACTCTTACACACAAACACACACACACACACAAATAGAAATCGGGCACAAATTATGAGCTGCAGGAATTGTGCAAATAAATATTGATGTTCAACTCCTGTTTAAAAGAGAACTCCCTTAAACGCCATTACAAACACGAGAAAATCTAATTTATCTCAAAAGGGGTTTGCGTTGAGATTCCTAATCCCCTCAGAATTGCACTTTCCTATTTATATTCATTGATGCGATATTTCAGCCACGCTCACCCCCACCCACCCACTCACCCACCCACACACAATCCTTACCCGGTGTTTCACAGCTGAGCCCCAAAGTTTCCAACGGTTTCAGCGCTGGGTAAAGACCAGAAGAGGTCGTGTTTGTATGTGTGCGGGTGTTTCTTTTTTAACCTGTATGGTATTAATCCCATAGAGTCAAGGGTGCGACATCCAAACTCGGGCCACTCAGAAGTTCTGCAGTTTGTCCCTGCGAGGCGTCTGCATGCTCCCGCCTTGTCCTGCAGCAACTGCGGGAGGGTGCGTGTTACAAAACAAAAATAATCCCGGACTTTGCGGGAAATCTGCTCGGGAGCTGCTGCTCTTCCGCTGCGTTCCGAATTCCCTCTGAACTCACTCTCCAACTTCCATCAAATTTCACTGCAGCTCAGCGCCTGCGCACAGACAGGGGGGCTGATTAACTCCAGCAGAGATTCCTGCCATTGCCTCAGTCTCAGCAATGTGTTTACTTTCTGTTTGGATGGCAACACATCCTTAAAGGCGCGGCTTTCTCTTTTAAAAAAAACACAGACGCGATTTGTCCAGGGGTCAATCCTAGGGAGAGGGGGAGGTTTTTTTGGGGGGGAGGGCGAGCGATGGGTAAATGTGGGTAATCCGTAGCCAAAATAAAAGTTACCTCATTAAAATGAGTCAAAATTGAAAGGGGGAGGAGGCAGAGCGTGGAAGAAGGGGTTTCCGATGCAGGGGGTTGCTGACCATGAAGGGATTAAATCTAGATTGGGCATTGCAATTTCTGGACGAATAGGACAGGATTTGGAAATAATGGATACAAGAAAATCCCATTCATTTCACTGTTTGAAGAAACTTCATCGCACCGCTGAAGACAGGGCGCAACCGTAGCCTGTGTCCCCGTCCCGTGGGACCCACGAACACGCAGGTTACCGAGGAGGGGACACGACAATGGGGAGCGACTACCTGCCTAAATCATCTGTGTAAAAATATTTCAACCCCTCCCCTTCCCTCCGCTCCCTGCTTCCCTCACTACCCTCTACCAAACCTTCCTCAACTTCCCAAAGTGAACGGACGATCCTCTTCAGCTGTTTGTACATTTCCGCTTTCTTTACCTGTTTACCAACAATAACATTCATTTTGATGTCTTTCACACAGTCCAGTGTTTTGTGTGCGTACTGATGGCATTTAATCGCTTGGCGATTTTGTAAGCATTCTTAAATTCACTTGAAACTTCAGATGGGGCGTTTTATATATAGTGTTAAAGCAGGAACTTCAACACCTGCTCGAAATTACAAATGATTCCTCTTAAAATTAGGTTAGTTTCAAGTGCTCTGAGAGTTTGATTGGATATCTGTTGTATTATAAAATGTTGCAAGCGATCGATGTATCTGAACAACAACCTAAATGAATCTCTAAGAGAAGCGGGTGTCTTCCCACCGTCTCTCTCTCTCTCTTCTCTCTCTCTAGTTACAGAATGGCATTTTGTAGCCAACGTACTTACCTGAACGCACCGTGTAAACTTCCCCAGATCCAAAGAACTGACGCATTGCCCTTGCAAGAAAAATCCTACCTTTTGTTTTTTTTTGTTGTTGTTGTGGAAATTTGGAACTATAGCAGAATCGTTTTATTTTAAACGTTTGTATTTAAATATTGTGAAGCGCCTGAACTGACAGAATTTGAGATCATTTCAAGGAAAGTATTAACTAATGGTTTTAAAATCATCTCCTTCATACAGAGCTAGGCGGAATGTTTTGCTTTAAACCGGTGTAATCCACTCTTTCAGACGAAAATCTCAAATCATTCAAAAGCGTCCTATTTCCCCCTTGGCAGATGATCCACGAAACACAATATCCAAAGGCCCGGTTAGTTCAATGAAAGCTACACAGTGAACACTCGAATAGCACTTGTTAAAAAAATCGATCTGAAGCTTCATTTAACGTCGTACACCGGTGGATTTTACACACTTGGTCGCTGCGATTCACTCACTGGAGGGAACTTGTCCGGCGTTCGTAGGGCGCGCAAGTTACACCGTCTCACTTTTAAAATACAAGTCTGTCATTGAGACTTATTCAATATGCTTTTTTCCCCCCACAGGAATGTCACACCACGTTAGAGCAAAGGCGAAAAGACGTGATGGTTAAGCAGGAGGACTTGCGGGGCTGAGAAAACGGAAGGCAATGAAACCTTACCAAATTAAATATCTGGTAATGAAACAAAACGTGGGCGAAGCCTTTGAGATTAATCTGTCACATAGTGTATTTTTAGACTGTGTTCTGTTTGCAACAGGAGTTGGGGATGATGGGGAGATTGGTAAGATTTGACAACAAGAAACAAGGCGCTGTCAATCTGTTTTGAAAAATGTTACTGTGGTGTGTGTGTTTGTGTTTGGAAGCGGACTGCTATTACGTAGACTCACATGTCCTTGATGTGTCCTTGTAACCTCAGAGAGAGCAAGTTGTCATAGTCCCCAGCGCCTTCACCCTGCCTCCCTCGAAGTGATGTCCAGATATCTGCAATTTTCAGGTTGATTTCCTTTGTGATATTTCCCAGGGATCTGGGTGTAGATCCCACTGATTTAGCAACAAGATGAACGATTGCATTGGCAATCTTTACTTGAGTTACAGGCTTATCAAATAAATTTGGCTGGACCTCAAACATTTAATTTTGCATACACCTTATATCAGGTGACAGCACGCCCCCGTTATTTTTACAGTGTAGCGTTTTGCTGCGAAATAGGAACTGTCGTCAATGAAACCAACATAAATATTTTCAGAAATGTGAATATTGAAGCAACCTTTGCTCTGCTTTCTTGGACTGGTATTTCTTTTGCCAGTGATCCTCTAGCATTTCGTATTGAGTCCCTGAACCTACCAACAAGACGGTTAGATTTAGCCAACTCCTTCGGGTTTCATTTTAATTCAATTTTAACTACAAGAATATAGACGGCTTAAATACAAGCATTGACGGAGTTTAGTAAAAGCAATGCTTTCGCTCGACTGACTCGTTCCCTTTGCTTAAGCCTCTGTAAGTGGGCAGTATAGTTTTATGTGCTTGTTAACTTAGTACTGAGGGGATAAGAAGTAAATTTTAAAAAGAAGAGATTAAAAACGTGTCCAACTGATTTTCGTAAAGCTTTCATAAAGTGATAAAAACATTAAAACACAATTAAATAGTAGAGATTTGGGGCTGATGTTAGTATGAAGTTATTTAGAATTCACTTAAGCATTTTCGAATGGTGCTGTTTCGAATGGTGCACGGATTAAGAACTAAATCAAAACAGATCCCAAATCGGTTAGCGCATGAAGTGTACCGCATTGTGGTTTACAAGGCGCTAGGACAAACGCCTCTATTTCCCTGAAACTCAGACAGCAAGCTTTGTGAATTAGAACAATTGATCTCCGTTCAAACAAAAACACTGGGTGTTGCTCATGAACCTTTGGCATATCGTGTCAATGGAAATCTCAATAGACTGAAGATCGTCAGTCTAAACCTAAATATCACAAATAGACAAGTCTCTCTCATATCCAGTCTGAAAAATTCCGGGTGAAATTCAGTTTGAAACATATTCCCGTTTAACAGCCAAACCCGTGCCTTAAATAACCTGTCGTTTGCGCACAGCTAATGGGAGTAGACTGTGGAAGACAGGGGTGTTATGTTAAAATAACCTTTAACAATTTAGGTTTCGAACAAATTCCTAAATTGACGACCGCTTTGCTAACTTGAAGGCGCCCTGTGAGGTAGTTCCCCGCCAAAATAACCAGACAAACCGACACTACTTCTGCATGTGTTGAAAGGCACAAACCGCGTTTCTCAGATGATAGAGTTAAATGAGATTGGCACCTCTCTCAATCAATCGGTTTATGTATTAGCTCCTGAGATCAATACAGTTTTATCAGCCACATCGGCCCGCGGACGGCATGTCTGAAGTATTGATTTGTGCCTCGGAGATCACATTCGGCTTGCATTTCCTTATCTTCAACCTGTTTTTTTAACTGGTTGCCCATCCCCTAATGGGGTGTGCGATTATTCAATTATTAGCAATTTGCAAACACAGAACCGGAACCAATAGAACATGAATGTTCTGATATCGATTATCGATGAAGTGATGTGTGGGCAGATTGGATCCTGAGATATGTTAATGGACAAGAAGTGGCATAAAAACAATGATCAAGTGCTATTGCAAAACACGGTGGTGTTTCAGGATGAGATTGATCGGATGATCTAGACGCCAGGACTCAGTGATACATGAACACGGTTCTGCCGTGAACAGGTTGACACAGCCGCTACCGGTTACCGGACTGGAGCGCCGCCCAGCGGCCAGTGTCGGGCACTGACGGCAATGAGCGCTGGAGAGAAGGGAACGATCAAAGTTCTTCGCCCCAAAAAGACATTGTTAACTTTAACATTTTCCACCAACTAATGCATGCCAGATTAAGAAAATCAATGATCTAGAAGGAAAAATATGCGCCACAAATTTAAACCAGAGCCAAATGTAACACGTGATTTTCCAATTAAGCCTTCATACATCCTCATATTTTACCTACAACTTCTGTTGGTGGAAGAACACCTTGGAATTGAGGTTCCTTTCAGACGGAGTTCTGAGGAAGGGTCACTAGACCTGAAACGTTAACTCTGTTTTCTCCTTCACAGATGCTGCCAGACCTGCTGAGCTTTTCCAGCAACTTTGATTTTGTTCCTGATTTACAGCATCCGCAGTTCTTTTGGTTTCTAGAAAGACAAATCATATCGCTTTTAGCGCCTGATTCTCATTCTGGATTTCACACCTTTTCTATTGCTGAATGAATGTTTAAAAAGCAGAGCATTAAATTGCAATTCAGATTAAGCGACCGCAGTTATATAAAAGCAAACTACTGCAGATGCTGAAATCTGAAACAAACGCAGCGAATACTGGAGAAACTCAGCAGGCCTGGCAGCGTCTGTGAAGAGAGAAAGCAGAGTTAACGTTTCGGGTCCGGCCTGTCTCTTCTGTAGAACCCGCAGCGTTCGTTTCTTAACTTTCACTATTAAAGAACATTTTTGTGTCTGTGAAGCAGAGCTTAATCCCGTTGTAAATAATTTGTCTTTCCTCGTGAACCTAATGCTAAACCTGAGTTGATCGAAGACTGAGGAATAATTCGATTGAGAGAAGCTGCCTGAACTATTCTCGTTTATTAAGTCAGTGGGGTGGGAATTTAAAGATGCAACAGTGCCTTTTCACACATTATTTCGTTTCTGAAAGTTTTCCTTCCCCTCTCTTGCGTCGAGGATAAGGACATCACGACCAAATCAGTGACTGCATTAGGGGCAAGAGGGGGGAACCTCCCGTCCTGACGGCGTTAACCTCTAAAGCCTAAAGCCTATTGTCACAAGAAACAATTTGGGAGATTGCACTGCATCTATGTTCTCTCCCGCATCAAAAGGAAAACGACATATCAGCAACCTAAACCAAGCTGTGGTTCTGTCTCTGAGTGGTTTTCGTTTGAGAATGGAACGTACATCCTAGAGCAATTTCTGCAGAACCAAACTTTGAGTAAATACAGAACAGAGGATAGTCTAAAAGGTCTTTCTGCCGAAGTTAAATGGGGGTCCGTTCAGTTATCGGACCCTCAAATGTTTGTAAATATTGTCTTGTACAAGTAACAAATGCCTTGGTGTTGTTTGCTGGATAGTCACATTCCAACGTTGTTTGTTTCTTCATATGCTACTGTACTGTTCCGAACTGCCAAGTGACTATGTATGTACGTAAACATAGTTTAATGATAATGTACATAATTGCATTTTTTGTTAAAAGCTAAACAGACGGACAGTGGTAGATGTCTATACGTGTTTCCAATATTTTCAGCCAACCGCTGATATCCCCTTCTGTGGCTCGGTGTTAACTTTCGGGACGTCTTTTCCTACGGCGCTATGTAAAACAACTTTTTGTTACTCTGTTTAATACCTGTCTCCGCTTTCTCCGCTGCCGCTCAATGTTTGTTGCAATGGGATCCCAGCGAGAAGCTGGGACCAGGTGAAACCGAGGGAGAAACTGGTTAATGGTGAGGGTGAAAGCAGGCAGAAAAGGCAACCTGTGGTTTGTATGTGAATTTCTCCGCCTGCAGACAAACTGCTCAACTTAATTCCGGCGCAGCCTCATTTTTAAACAAGTTAGCATCCTTTCTTTGTGTTGATCGGGGACTGCTCAGATGTTAAGATGTTAAGCAGCGTGAAGGATTTCCCCCCCAGAAGCCTGATTTGCACGTTTTGTTTTGTAACACAGTTGGAAACCGTTGGCAGAGAAATAAAACAACAATCGCTTGATATTTCGCTATTGCAATGCTTGACATATACACATATCCGATGTTTTTTACTGGAGCATAAAGAGAGCATGGAGAAAGCGATTAATATTATGCAAACGTTTAAAGGGTGTATCAGCACCCAGCAGAGATAAATGGGGTATTAGTTTCTCACAGATCAGTTCTGTTGAAGGATTACGGCTACAATTTGATCATCGCTCTAGAATAAGTGCAGAAACTGCTGGAGAAACTCAGCAAAGCTGACAGCATCATGGAGAAAAAAAGAGACAGTTAACGTCAGCGTGACTCTTCTTCAGAAGTGTGTTTATTTCACATTTTCATCCGCAGTATTTTGCTGCAAATTGGTTTGGGATGTTGCACTGCCTAAAGGTGGTAATATAACACAACTTATTGTCGAAACCTTAGCTTGTATCTCCCTCCCCCCTCTTCCCTCCACACACACACAGACACACAGATGTCAACTGACATGTCCAGTGTATTTTTCTTAATATTTCCACCTCTCGGATCCGTCTGATTTCAAGCATTTACGATTTAGTCATTTTTCTTGCGTAAATGCTAAGTTTGTCTAAAGAACGTGATAGACCCATGCGTGTTCTAGCGACAACATACACATACAGCGAGTATTTCCATTTACATCAATATCAAACCGAAACGACCAAACTAGCTTTTCCGAGTTTGCCTTTCAGATCACAACGACTTTTAGAATGTTTGGGGGAAAAAAAACGAAACCGTTTGAATCAATCTCTATACCTGACAGCATTTTCTTCAATCTGCTTACCACCCACTGGATTGAAATTTAAGCTTAACTCTTGCACAAATCAAATATTTCAACTTTCGAATTGCTTGCGGAAGTTCCAACAGTCCCTCATGTGCAATTCTCAACGCGTCGTTTGTTTTGGCGAAATAGCGCGTCAAATATTTG